CCCTAAAATAAAAACTATGAAAACCAAGTCTTTGAAAACTCATTTGCTGACAAAACCTAATTCGACCTGAACTTATTTTGTGGCAGACCTGACATAAACTTACATGAAGTTATTTATAGTTTTTTAAATTACACTTAGGTGTATCCCAGTGTAACTATTCACAGATATCATTGCAGAAATACTAACTTGTTCAATTATAGCGTACTGTCCCGGACTCCATTGGGATTGTTGTTTTATGTTGTATATACACCATATCACCTTTCTAAAATCCAAAAAAATTCGGAAACACATTTGCTATCCAGATTCCTCACCCTATTTACTAATTGGTGTTGGCTTGAGTTCTTCTGGTTATTTGCATAAGTCAGATCCACCTGCAGATAATATTCATTGCAGTGTATGCTGTAGATTCTGAAGATGATTCTCAGTATCTTTTGAGCAGTGTCCTCATTTAAAAAATGATGTTAAAACCTCCTTGAGTGATTACTGTGAAGTGATAGAATTCATTTCGATGGTAAGGTGTGATGTGTTTTTGGATGATGAGTCTCATTACTGTACATCTCATTTTTACATTTTAGCAGTCAGTGGTCAGTAATTTTCTGGAATTCGTTTCCAAAGTTGGAATCAGTCCCCTTGGCCTTTAGTCAAAACCAAAGAGTGAGCTCTGAGTGGTGAGAATTTGGGGCCCAGTAGAAAATGAAGCGTGTGTACATACACAAATTATTTTTAAAGACAGTTTTAGATTTACAAAAATATTGAGAAGGTGGTAGAGTTCCCAAATACCTCACATCCAGTTTCCATTACTAATATATAAGGTATAGTATATTTGCCACCATGAATGAACAAATATTGATATATTGTTGTTAATTAAATGTCTATGGTTTTTTCAGATTTACCTATTTTTTTGTTCCAGGATCCCGTACATATATATATAACATTTGTTTATCATGTCTCCTTAAGCACCTCTTGGTGTTACAGTTCCTTAGACTTTCCTTGTTTTTGATGACCTTGACAGTTTTGAGGAGTCAGGTATTTTGTAGGATGCCCCTCTATCTGAATTTAACGGTTTCCACATGATTAGATTACTTTTATGGGTTTTGGGAAGGAAAACCAGAGGTTAAAATGCCATTTTCATCACACGAGGGTACATAATATCAACATGATTTGTTTATATTGACCCCTCTAGGTCAGCTAACAGAGTGTGTGTGAGATTGTTATCACGAGGGTGACCTACACTTTTTCTGAGGATAAAATTTTTTCTCCTGCTCATGGCTCAGCCCCAGCAGTTACCTCCTTCCTTGAATTTCCCCTCAACACAGTAGGTTCCATCATCTCTAGTTTCTACCCATCACTATTAGATCCTCTAAAAAATAAGATGCTTCAATTTGTACTAACGTTTACTGAGCACTTGTTATGTACCAGGCACTCTGCTAGGCCCACACTGTGTGAAATCATTTAATGGGATGAAGCAGCTTGATGCATGTAAAGAACACAGGCAGTAACACTTGGGTTGGAACCATACCCCAGCCCAGCTAATTACGCAATTGTGGGCAGGTCCCTTTGCCTCTTAGCCTTCCTTGGCTTCTTAAATGGCGATAACATTTATCTCACAAGATGTGAGGAATAAAAAAATTTCTCTTAATCCTCATATTCATTTCGTTTTCAAAAGAAAATCCCTATGACTGCATTTAAATGCTAACATTTATACATTCCTTCCTATGAAACTCTCACAATTTTTTTGGTAACTTCTGTTTTAAATCATTTAGGGCTTTGGAAGTCTCAATAGACTTACTTTAAAAAATTGTCCCGTCAGGACCCTACTTATAAAGAGGTCTCAATTATAAATTTCTCATAACAAAAAGATCGTGACAAAAGGAAAAGAGAAAAACAGAAAGAACTTCCGTTTCGACAAAAATATCAAGTTTGGTCAAGGAGGCCTCGCCCATTCTGACTTTCTATTGGCTAAACTTACCATCAATCGCGCCAGTTGTAAATAAACTGAAGACGGAAGCATGTTGTTAAGGGGTGGGATCTTCCTGTCGCCATTGCTAAAGTGAGACCCGTTTTCTAATAGGCTGAAAGCTGCTTTTCCCGCCCTCTTGCATCAGTTGCTAAGAGGCGGGATTATAGGGTCCGCAAAGGACTGAGTGCTTGAAGCTCCGCCTGTCCGATTGGGTGTTAGGGGGTAAGTCTTGCAGTGGATAGGCTGGTGGCCCTGTCTGTTCGGGATTAGTTGCTGGGGCGAGGCACATGAGGAGGCGGCGGCGTAAAGCGACTATGGCGGGAGGAATGAATGTGGCGCTCTCTCGGGCAGTAGTTGGTGCCGGGTCCTGGGGTTGCGGGGCCGGGGGCGGTGGGGCAGTGCGGCTGCTCCTGGTTCTCTCCGGCTGCTTGGTCTGCGGCTCAGGTACCACCCGGCAGCAACTGCCAAGGGGGCGGGTGCCAAGCGGGTTATATTTAGAAAAGTGGGGAGTGTTCCCGGGCGCCGCCTGTTACTCTGCGGAGTGGCGCGGCTGTACGCAAAGGAAGAAGCTTCATTGTCGACGAATGGGCGTCGGCATTGAGGGGTCGGCCTGGGGCGGCCTGGTGGAGCTGCTCACAGTGGGGAGGAGCATGGAGCCTTTTGACAGAGACTGGAAGGGAGGCCTAGACTGGGTGAGAAGCGGCCCTGGGGGCTGCGTCGCCCTTCACCGGCCTCGAGTTTCCTGGTTAAAAAAGGAGGGAGACCTGGGGACCGTTACCGGCAGGCATAGCTGCCACTGGAAAGGGAGCATCCCATTCATTCAACAAATGAGCAACACCTTCTGAACGTACGTTCTGTCAGGACTCGGGCGGCTGAACAGATAATACAGTTCACTGAAATGCAATGATCGCTAACGTCTTCAGCTCTTGTAAGATCCTGGCTCCTACCGGCCCTATAGAATAGACCTGGAGCCGTTAAATTCCCATTTCAAAAACAAACAAACAAAAAACCCCAAAAGATACAAGCGCCATTCAGCATTGAATAGGTTACTTTTGGAAATATAATGCCTTAGGTGAACTAATTTGATACTTTCTGCTAGATAATTGGCTTTGGACTAGGTTGAAACTTCCGCTCTAATCTAGAAAACCTGGAGTGTTAAGAGTTTTCATCTACCTACTTGTCGTTAAGTGCACAACAGAAAAATAAGTGAGGTTTCCAAACTTCCACTGGAGGGAGTTGAAACTCACGGGGTTAATTTTATCTTGTAAACACGTGCTGTCTTACCTGTCCCTTCGTTTTTTGCCTATCTCATGCTGTCACTTATGATAATCTTTACCTGCAGCTTTAAGGTTGTCTCAGGATCCGTAGATCTAGTTCTAAAGTGCTGCTCTTCCTTCTGAAACTTTTTTTTTTTTTTTTTTTTAAGGGAGAGGGAAGTCGGTATCCAGGGAGGTACTTTTCTAGAGTCAGGGCTCAGAGTAAAGTTTGGAGGGCTGTTTGTAATCTGAATGAACTTGGGCAAGATGGCTAACGCTAACCTCTAAAGTGGAGTTGTGGATTGTGGGGATGAAAGAGAAAATATATACAAAAATGTTCCTACATAGAGCTCAATCAGCAGTCTAAATTTCTTTAGTGAGGAGAGGAACAGGAACATCTTGACTTAGAGAAGGGTAACCTGCGGAGATATTTGTTCTGTGTGACCTGATATATCATGTAAGTGATAGCTACAAAGTGACAATCGAAATAGAGAAGAACTTTCTAAAAGTCAGAGGTACCTAAAAACTGAATGGAGTACTTCAAAAGGCAGGGAGTTCTTTCTCACTGGAGGTTTTTGAAAAATGTTATTATAAAAACAACGTGAGTTTATTTTAGACTACTTGGCAAATCCAATTAAGTATAAAGAAGTAGAAAAAACTCACCGTTTATTCCTTTCAGAGGCGATCCATTTTAGCACACTTCTGGTCTTTTTCCACATTTTTAAATTAAATTTTTCTTAATTTTTTTTTTTTTAATTTTCTTTTTATGCGAGGCAACCCTTGGTTGACCTCTCAGATTGCAAAGACCTTGTCAGTTTACAATCTCTTATTTTTTAAGCCTGCAGTACCTGGTCTTCCTAGGTGGTCTTCCATCCAAGTACTAACCATGCTGGACCCTGCTTAGCTTCAGAGATCAGACAGCATTGGGCTTGTTCAGGGTAGCATGGCCATAGACATTTAATGTTTCTGAGTTAAACATTTGGTTGGATGTTTGTGGTTTCTACTCTTGGTTGGATATTTGTGGTGTTTTCTAGTTTTTAATTGTAGATGACACTTTGCAAACATTTTTGTGTATAAATTTGTTATTGCATTTGGATTTTTTAAAAGATAAATTCTCAGAAATGGATTTATAAATGTTCAAGGAATGCCTTCATGGTTTTTATACTGGTTTTACTATGATCGGGGTTTGAGTATACTGTTACCAACCACCTGGTCTTTTAATTACCCATCTCAGTAAGCTTATATTTTGTGCAGCATGTGTTTCTCAGCTTAAGACACTGTTAGAACCTAAAGTAGTAGCTGATCTGTGAAATTTTTTTTACTTGAAGTAGATTGTCTTTTTATAAAATTTAAAAATTTAATTAAAAATAAAAAAAAGAAATGGATTTATTAGGTCAAAAGCTAAAACATATTTAAGACCCTCGAAACATCTTGCTAAAATACTTTCTTGAAAAGGCGTGCCAATTTACACCACTATCAGCAATATTTGCTTGTGACCCTTGCTAGCGTTGGATATTCTAGACTGTAACACCTTTGCTAATTTGATAGAGTGAAAGTGGTATCTTAATGTATGTTACATTTCTTGCATTATTTGTGAGGGAGCATCTTTCAACTGTTTATTAGCTATTTAATTTTCTGTTTGGACTTTTGAATTTTTTTAGAGTGTGTTTGTATCCTTTGTTCTTGGCCTATTTATTGTGATTACTTTTTACTGGGATTTTGTGTACTTTAAAAATCAATTCGAATAAACTTTTAAATATATTTAAACATATATACTTATAATCTATTGCAGAACTTTGATTGCCCCCTTTATCTTTTTAAATAGAAGATTTATATTTTTATATAGTCACTTGATTTTATTCTCTAGATTTATGTCCATTGCTTTTATGCTTAAAGAATCCTCCAAAATTGAATTGATATTATTTTTGTGGTACAATTAAAATTTATTTTATTTTATTTTTTAACCTATAATTAGGGTTAGCATTTGTGTGAGATGAAGATCTAGATTGGTTTTATTCCAAATAACCAGTCAGTTCCAGAGTCCTATTGAATAATCCTTTGCTAAGCCTGCTGATTTAAGATGTTAGTTTTTAAGGAGGCTTTTAAGTATGAATTGGATTACCTCCTTACAGAAATGAATAGAGGCTACTTAAGAATTAGAAGAGATTGTTTTTCATGACTTTATAGTGTTTGTTCTGGTCCTCACATATTATGAATCATTTTCATTACTCTCTTCCTATAGATGTTAAATGAGCAGTGTTGTTGATTGAAAAGTAGGCGAAAAGTATGTAATGATCATAAGTAGATATGAAGTTATTAACCTCTGAATTGTGATTCACTAAATTCGAAGAAGGCATTTTTTGAGAAGTAGATCTTTGCGCTCAGAAAGCATTTTCCCGAATATTTAATTTATTCTGCTTTTTAACATGCTAACTAACTCTCACCGTAGGGAGGGAAAGGAAGGTGGTGTATGCTCTTTAGCTGTGGGAAGCACAAGGTTCTACTGAGCATTTTAACAATTTGTATATATACAGTTTATGGTTATCTGATTTAGTTCTGTGTTTCTAACAATTTAAACTACAGCTGGAGTGGTGATTGTTTCCACAGATTATCCTTTTAGGCTGAATTGGAATATTTTACCTATCAATGAATGTCCAGAGATGTGGCTGACCGTGGTGCTGACCTCCCCCACTTTGCCCTTCTTCCCTGAAGCAGGCCATAAAATCCTCATGTGACAAGTGCCCTCCCTATATCTGGAGGAAAGCATCCTTATCTTCGAAGATAAAGGGACCCCAAGAAGAATCCTAATAGGCCTTGCTCAGTTTCCCCCAGTTTCCCACAATTACCTCGTGTTCCTAAACTTGTCTTATTCCTCTAGTATTGTCTACTCTTCATCAAACTCAGCATAAAAGTACATAGTTCTTATGGTCTTGGAGGGCTCTTCATTTCTTACAGAGGTTTTTAGGGTCCTCATTTTCTTACGAAGGCTTTTGTGTCACATAAAACATTAAATAAATTTGTATGCTTTTCTCCTCTTAATCTATCTTTGTCAGTTTATTTTTCAGGCCCAGCCAGTGACCCTAAGAGGGTCAAGGAAAACTCCTCTTCCACAGTTTCAAGACTGAAGTAAAGAAAAAAGTTGAGATATAATTCCCATACCATAAGATCCACCTTTTCAGTGGTTTTTAGTATATTCACGAGATCTTACAACCATCCCCACTGAATAATTCCAGAATATTTTCATTCCTCCACAATGAGACCCCATACACCTTTGTATTCACTTCCCATTTCCCCTCCCAGCCCCTGGCAATTACTAATCTTTCTCTGTGGACTTGCCTATTCTAGATGTTTCATAAAAATGGAATCATTCAACATGTGGCCTTTTTGTGTCTGGATATTTTCATTTAGCATAATGTTTTCAAGGTTCATCCATGTTGTACTATGTATCAGTACTTGTATTGCTATACTACATTTTATCCATTCATCAGTTGATGGACATTTGAGTTTTCACTTCTTGGTTATTATGGATATTGCTACTATGAATATTCATGTACAAGTTTTTGTGTGAACATTATGTTTTCACTTCTCTTGTTAAAACATAGAGTTATTATATGACCTATATATATACATAGTGGAATTGCTAGGTCATATAATAACTCTATGTTTTAACTTTTTGAGGAACTGCCAAACTGTTTTCCAAAGAGGCTGCACCATTTTACACCCTTGCTAGTAATATATGAGAATATCAGTTTCTCCACATCCTCACGAACAGTCGGTATTGTTCTCTTTTTGCTTATAGCTATCCTAGTGAGTGTGAAGTGTTATTTCATTGTGGTTTTGATTTGCATTTCCCTAATGACTAATGATGTTTAGCATTTTTTCATGTGCTTATTGGCCGTTTGTATAACTTCTTTGGAGAAATGTCTATTCAGATCCTTTGCCTATTTAAAAAATTGGGTTATTTCCCTTTATATTGTTGAGTTGTAGTTTGTTATGTATTCTGGATACTAGACCCTTATTAGATATATGATTTATAAATATTTTCTCCCTTTTTGTGGGTTTTCTTTTCACTTTCTTGATAGTGTCCTTTGAAACAAAAGCTTTAAATTTTTATGAAGTCTGATTTATCTGTTTTTTTTTTCTTCCTTTGGTTGCTATGCTTTAGTGTCATATATAAGAAACCATTGCCTAATCCAAGGTGACGAAGATTTATACCTGTGTTTTCTTCTAGGAGTTTTATAGTTTTTGTTCTTACATTTAGGTTTAAGGCTGAATTTCACTTCAAAATTAGTGTTAGCTTCACTCTAAAACCATTTTGGATTGGCGGGCATCATTGCCTTTTTTTGTGTGTAACTTTGGTTTTCTAAGTTTTGTTGAGGTTTTTGTGTTTTTGTTGGTTTGTGTGTATATGTGTGTGTTTAGTATTTTAAATCTACCACCTTTATAACTAAGAACCAGAAAGATAACTAAATTTCCACTTAGAGTAGCACTTAATAAATTGGTAAGTACAATATAGAACTCAAGGAAGAAATTATTTAAATGTTCTGTAGTAAAGAAGGTAGCTTGTATAACTTGGATGGGAAGATACAAGAGAGCGGTCACTTTAAAACCTTAAATTATCTGAGATTGAATATAAAACTCCTGAAGGGGAGAATCTTCTGTTTTGGTAAAGCTAAAGGAACTGCATATATTCTTCGCTGTTATTAAAACTTGAAATGAAACAAAACATCTGGAAAAAAGCAACTTTGCAATCTTTTAGTAACTACTCAAAGTGCTATGCATATATGCAAAACGTTGCCAATTCTGTTCATCCTATTCAAGAAAGGGATAGAGAAAACCATCAGATGGGGTTACTTCAGCTATGCCTTTATGAGGGAAACAAGACCTGGGTGTGAATCTCAATTAAGCTAATTTACTAGTTGTGTGACTTTGGGCAAATTCATTTTTCTCAAACATCAGTTTCTTTATTCGTGAAATAGGAATTATGTGAGTGCCTACCTGATAGCATTGTTGAAAAGGTTAAATGAGACAGCAAACTGTTTTAAACAATAGTAGCTTAGTGACTTAAATTTGACAGAAATAAGACTGCTTTATTTCTTCTCTCATCTCAGTTTTCTTTTTGTTTTTCAGTTGTTAACATTTTAACCCCAACTTTAAGAAAGTGGTCAGTTTAATTCTTTTTATGAAATGAGTTATAGTTATTAGATTGTTCTGTTATGTTATATTTAATTCTTATTTCCTTTCTTTGTATTAAGCTGGAATTGATGTAAATGTGGCCATGCTTCAGGAATCTCAAGTTTATAATATGATTACCAGGCAACAATTCTGTTATAAAAATGTGCTTCTCCCAAAGTGGCATGATGTATGGACACGGATACAGGTAATAACACGAAGGCCCTGGCATGGGCAGCTTCTGTAAATATTTGTATTAGCAAGTACTTTGATATGTTTCTTTCACACACAGTTTTTGAAAAAGTATTACTAACAATTTTGATAGGGTTGAGAGGATCTTGAATTATTTTTCGTTAATAAGCATTTATGCATGCTTTGTGTTCCTCTCTCTGCGCCTTTAAGTAGCTTAGAATACTTGACCCTGAGGTAAACTTCCTCCTTTTCCCAAAGAAACTGCCTCCTTCTTTTGCCCTCACTCCTATGCACGCCAGCACCCACGCTGTCCCGCCGCCTGCCGCCCCGCTTTCCTCCCTCCCTGTCCC